AATCTTGCCATAACAGATGGCATGGGGGTTGGGGTTGGGGGTGCGGGATGTAACATCATAGTTTACTGTGACCCAGATTGGCCCTGAAACTCATCTAGGGGCACAATTAACTCCAACAGACACTTCAAATGCTACTCATTACAATACACTCTTGATATTTGAATGTCTGACTAAGTCATGTGACTAATTTCAGAGTGGACTGCCAGTCATCAAACAGCAAGGAGGGAAGCAGATGAAAACTGGAAATAACATTGATGTGATTGTCTTCTTTCTCAATGTAATATGGAGTTGTTGTTTAGTGTCAAAGGCAGTAAGCAGGGCTAGAGCTGATGTTCCTAATAGTAAATTGAGCTCAGATTCACTCAGACACAAAATCATCCGTCCACATAGAGATGACACGCAGGGAGAGAAGCTGATGGCTGTTTTTTAACAGGTATAGGACAATCCTAGTCCTGTATAACAGCTCTGATAGCTACATTAACCACTTTATCCCCAACCAAACACATCCGATTTTCTTATACAATCCCATTCTCACTGTTATAAATGAATAGAAGCTAAATTTGACTAGATCTAAAGCACACAATGCATTACTTTCCTCGTCGACAATCAAAGATTGATACGCAAAACTCTACAAAACATTAACCCAAGAAAATCTCTCATCTTTTTTTATTGTTTGTCAAGATTTGAGGAAAAGGCCTTGGAATGACTTCTGATAAAAATACCAGGCAAAGCATTTCTGAAAGAATGTACCTCCTAATTTCAAGTTATGAAATAAACAAGCCTCTCCTTACCACCGTATTGTAGTGCAAGCATAGACTGTATATACTATAGACAACTTAGTTCCGCCTTCCACCAATTTACGGATTTGAAGCCAAAAAGCTCTTGGTATTTTCATTTTTTTTCTCCACTTCCTGAAACCAACATTGCGCAGTAGCGTTGTGCGCACTCCACCACTTGAGCAGTGGCATTGTTTGCATTCCGCGGGAAAATCACAGAGTCACTGTGATGACACTCAGCTCAAACAGCGTATCCCCCGGGTGAGCTATGCAATCTTTGTACACCCATAGGCTGTATCAAGTGTCAATTATAGAAAACATGAACCCCCTAATAACCTTTAAAAATGGAGCTGTACAGAAAAAAAGAGGACTTGAGCACAAACCAGTCTTACAATACATGTCAACATCGCAAGCAGGGGGGAGAAAAATTTATATTTTGTGTAATAAATTTCTAAAGTTTGTCCACAGCTTCATGGGGATTGCTGGAGGAGCAGGTTTTATGACGTATCCAGCAGCCTGTCACCTTGCTGTTCTCAAGGTGGCTTCACCCAGCGAGGAGGCAGACGGCAACCATTCTATATACAGTCTATGGGTGTGAAGGTTTGTATGTCCTGATGATCCCAGGAGCTCAGTTGTGGGGGACTTTATGCCTCTGGTAGGGTTACCTTTGTCAAACAGGTACTGGAGGAGGGATCAAACAAAGTGGAGCTCACCAGATCCCTATGATGAGCACTCAGTTTTCCTTGACCAGACCCAAGTCTGGTTATGTTTTTCTTGTTGTCTACATGTTCATGTGGCATGTTTTGATGCTTAAGGAAATATCATGGGAAAACTAAGTGCAAAATTGCATTTGTGAGTATTTCTGCATTCAAATGGTTGTGAACCTCTGGCAGACCCAAACTGCAGGTTCAGACACAGTGAGATTTCCTACATCACAAGTCTATGCTCCGCCCTCAGCACCAGACTTCAAGAAGTACAGAGAACAGTGGTGGAGTAAGTGTGTGTGTTAGCTGAATAGGTCCTATGTTACCCGCTACTTCTACTACACCGGCAATGTTAGGCTGCAAGCTAGTGTGAAGAGCTGTCTCCACCCACAGCTCAGAGGTGAATTGCCAATGAGCAACTGGAGCTCTGCAGAATAAAAGACCACTGAGAACACTTTAAATAGTCAAACAAAACAAACAACAACAAAAAAAACATAGTGGGACTTCAACTGCTTGTTTTTCAGGGCTATAAAGGTACTTATAAAGGAAATTTAACTTCATTTACACCTTTTTTTTTTTCCATTCATTGGCCTAGACATCAAGACCAGACCAGTTTTCTCCTGAGGGTACTTTTACTGTTTGAAAATGGTGTTTTGATTCATAGGTTGCTTCCAAATCTGCTTCAGGCATTCAGGATTGTCATTCATGAACTGTGTTACAGAATTAGGATACTGATTATCAGCAACTTTTCACGCAATATTTTAGCTTTGGCCCGATCAGACTCTGCAAAAAACAAATAAATAAATAAAAATAATAAAATAAAATAAAATAAAAAAACAACTGAGGAAAACTGCTTAGGGAAAGGAAGCCATGATTACCATGTTAATATGCTACTAACGTTTTGCTTTATAGCTTTTCTTCTAATCAAGAAATATAACATTGATAAGAAAAAATAGCATTAATAGTAGCAAGCCAAAAAAACAAAAAAAATGTAAATATATAGGTCAATATGCAGATAATTCAAAGTTTATGCTTCTGTTAGCAGCTCCTCTCCCACATAAAATCTTGTTCTACTCATAAACATGGCAATTGTATGCACGTGTATTTTGTAAATATAATATCTGAACAAACAGGTCACTGTAATGTTGATCAATGTACAAGCAAATTGGTAAGCTAAAGACTGTAAGTCAATGAATATAGAATAAGAAAAAGGTCAATTCTAGCAAGCCGACAGAGGCATTAGAAAAGAAAAAGGTGGTGGTACTGGAGGGGTTGGTGGTGGATGATGAAAGACGGGGCTGTATGACGTTGTTTCCATGGCGATGGTCTTGCTGTCTCCCACATGCTGTAACGTGTATGTGTGCACACGTGTGTGTGTTTTTTTGTGTATTTTTGTGCTATTCATATTGTTCAACCAAATCTTGAATTGAGTTTGCCTCAGTTCAAATCCTCTTAAATGCTCATCACTGAAGCAAACTGCACACTTTGGTTAAAGTGAAAGCTGCTCTAGGAAAAATGTTTAATGATATAAAGGATGGCTTTTAACTTTAGTCTAATCTGGAGGTTCTTGTGCAGGTCACAAAACCTGACTCCTACAGTTGGGCGATATAAGAACAAGTGGGAGGAGTTTAACAACATAGAAGCCAATATCACTCAGTCTAAATTTAGTCTTTTTAGTTTTCAACACTGTGAAATCCCTTGGAGGGAAAAGCTCAATTTTGGGTGATATTAGTACAAAATTAATAAAATTCTTTGCCACAGATTATCTCCATCAAATCACTTAATTTTTCATCTTGACTGCCTGATTCATTTCTCTCTGATCATGGAAATTAAGATTTTAAAAAAGCTTTAGTTGGCTGACTCGGCTTTAGTCCTCCCACTTCACTTTGAAGTGCTAAATATGACATGAGGTTTTAACTTTAGTGAAAATCAACAAGTTTAGACAGATGTAGCCTGCAGATTAGAATTTACTATGTAGTGATTAGAATTTGTGAGTTTTTTTTTTTTTTTCCATGAGCATGCATTGCATGTATACTGTATGGGCATTATGTGTGTGCATGTGTCTCAGGGTTTATAAAAAGATGTGGTGATGCGTGTGTATACGACAAGGAGGCTGATATCTGTGTGAGGCGTGACCAGCATGGTGAGAGGATCCGACGGTCATGCCAGATACACTGAGATGGAGGATGAGTGGGGAAGGGAGGTAGAGAGGCAATCAACTCTCAAATGGTCCTGAACCTCAAGGCAACATCGCCATCTGGTGTCTGATTAAAACTGAGCGTGTATACAATGAGCTTGTTAATGTAAGATGAAATATTTTCCTCCAGAAAAACATTTGGATACAAACCGCATTGGTGCTCTTGTGTACACACTTACAGGACACTGTGTACTTCCAGTAAGTTCTATCTCTATCATATTCAAAGCCATATGTCTCTGTGTCGAACCAAACTGTTTTATGCTCAAAGACACAGGTACACAACCTCTTATTTACATAGACAGATCACCATACACTTGTTTTACCAGAAATGCCTCTGTCATTCAGAGAAATGGTAGATCTTTATCAGTGCTGGAGCGGACGGTTCTGAGTGCATCTTTATTCAACTGGATTAATTACCAAACTTGCCCTTTCTGCCTCTGAGACATATCCTATTATTCTAGACACATATTCTGAACATGTTCTTCACAATTCAGGCCTTGTTTTGTGTAATGTTCTTGAAAAGAAATAAAATTTTAAATGATTATTCTGTGTCCTTCGAATTAAACAGTGAACTTGTGTGAAAGGTTTGTCAAAATACCATGTTTTTCTGCAAGGTAGTTCTTATTGTTACCAAGTGAGGGTAAAATGGTTCAGCTGATTAGAAGAACTTCAGCCTGATCATCAGAAAAAAAAGTGTCATCCATGAGATGTTATGAAACGTGTTTTCTTAAAGCTAGCCACAACATAAAAAGTCAAATAAAGTTTAACATTTTTAGTGCTAAATAATGTTTAAAAATAGCCCTAAACTAAAAGGACAGTGAGCACAGCTGAACTCTCTTTTTTCTCAAAAATGCTCTTTTGCATGGGTAAGAGGTTTCCTATTCAGTCTTGTGTAGAGCCAGACCGTTTGTATCAAAGGCTGGTTGGTTTTTCCCAACAGAGGCTGTTCGAACATTAAAGATCACATCAATAAACTCCTCAGTCAACTCTACTTTGAAAAACCTGAACTTTCCGATTAATGAGCCAGGATTTCAAAGATACCCTTTTTAGGTCAAAATCAGCAAACTCTTTTGAGTGACTATGATACATCCCGGTTCAGTGACATTTTAACAAGAGCCTAAATGAGTGCAGACACCACTGATACACCACCACTGATTTGGGGCCCAATTCCTCCTCTCTGACGTAAATCAGCAGAGGATTATTGGATGCTTCTGAAGTTTAACTTGACATATTATCCTATGGTGCGGGGTGTGTTAAGAGAGATTTTTCTTGCCTCTGATCCGTGTGGAGGATAATAAAATGGAAAGTATAAAACATGTCCAATATTTTGATCAGGAATCTTTATGTGTTAGGGTCAGGGTTGCATGAACTCTGTCCAATTAAACATGGAACAAAATGATGGTCAATCAGGTGTACTGTGTTGTTCACTACATCTTTGCACACTTAAAGGAACAAAACAGTTCAATTGGTCATCATGTGTGGGGTCAGTTCAAAAATCAGTCAAGTTTTAAAAATCTTTTAGTGAGTAAGGCTTAAGCCCAGTGTTAACAGACAAGTTCATTGAGGAAACACACACTTTATAAGCAGGCAGAGATGTATGTCAAAAGATTTAAAAAAAAAAAAAAAACTTTACTTGGTCTTTTGGTGTACAAAGCAACTACAAAATCACTTCAACCTCCTCCATATTTCAGACCATTGACAAACCCCAGACAAGATGATCAGAAAAGGCCATGTTAGTGTAAAAACTGGAAACTAAAGGTTCCCTTTCACCTTGAAGTGGCAAGATGTCCATTTTGTCTGTTACAGCAGACTTTTTTTACAGAAAGGGAATATTTTGGGGGGTTGGGGGATCAGGGATGCCCTCGACCACAGCCCGTCTCAGAGCATACTCCTTTCCATCTAGAGAGGAGGCACTTGATGGCGTAAGGTTGACAATACTTTGTTGAAATCAGGGTTGAGGGTAGGGTTGGTCATGGTGGAAACAGGGCTGGCAGAGACAGGTGATGACTGCTGCTGTGTTAGCTCAGGTAGCAGGCTGGAGATATCACTAATTTGAGAGGTAGTAACAGCCCTGTCTGAAAACATAAAGAAAATGGAGACACAGGAATGTTTAAGAGAGAAATATACTGAAAAATGAACAAGAGGCTTCTAAACACACAGTTTCCTCCTCTATAAAATGTAGTTTTCTGGTTGTCTTATTCACGACTGCCTTGAGTGAAACATGAGACCTTTAAGTTAAATACACACCTTCGCTAGACACCTGGACAAAAGATGAGCAAGGGACAATTGGAGCAGAGCTATCGTCATCGAGAGACAAATTTAAGTCACCACCACTGACCACAGATCCACCTGTGGCTTCTGTAGGTATGGGGTCATCTGAGCAGACGAATACCTCAATTGGTCCCTGTGTGCTGCTGAGGCGGACCTGCAGGCTCTGAAAATACAGGAAGCAAACAGGCATCACATCACAGCCAGCACCAGCAGAAAGCATAGTTGGAGACTTTATTCCCATAACAGTCATCTTTGCTCAGGGTGAGAGGCTCAAATGTTATATATGTGAGGAAGTCTCGAGAGACAGACAGTCACAAAGACAGTCATTCTTGCTGCTTATCAGACTGAAAACTGTGAAACGAGCACAGTGTGTCAGATTACCAAGCATTACACAATTTGTGAGCTAGAACAGGACAGGGAGTCATAGTGGCATATTTGAACCCCATCCTTGTATACACACACACACACATTACCACAAACACATTCAACCTCCATGATGTTGTCTAAAGTTTTCCACTAATGACTCAGTTACTCAAAAAAATAATTGTGTATGAAAATTTACCTCATTTGGGTGTGGCACCTCCAGTTTTGTCTCTGCAGGGGCTTTGATCACTATCACAGTCTGTTCTTCCAAACTGGGTATTCTTCGGACATCCTCGTACGTCAAATAGGCAAATGTGACCATCAAGATTAAGGAATAAACAGTCAAACCACAGTGGTGTCTAGGCACCTCAGAGTACATGATGTGAGACTGAAAAACCTAGACTTTCATCCAAAGTAACAGGCAAGTGACAAAGAAAGAAAAGGAGGTGACAGGCCCTCTAGACCCCTACATAATGACAAAACTGAACAAGTCACATCACTTATACAACATCAAGCAGGGTTTAGTTGTGGATATCTTTGACCTGGTTGGTTCTTACACAGGTGATGAATTTGCCACATACAGCTTTGTATTAACTCATCCAGCTTGTTCTCCTCCTCGATCAAAGCCTTCAGCTCCTTATTTGTTTGACCACCCCTGAGGAAACCAAGAGCAAAACAAAGTTAGCACCCTAACAAGAAAAAAATGAAGACATTAACTTCATATCACATTCAGACTCTGCCTGCAACTACTATTAAGCTGTTCAGACTGGTCTATTATGCACAAGTTTCTTATCGTGTGAATTTTGATGAAATGCTTCAAATTGTCTGGTAGACACAATAATGATCAGAAAGGAGCCGAGCTGGGCAGCACACCCTGTGGCTAATAATATAGAGATCTAAGATCATATTTTTATGATTGTGGGGAGCCATAATTGTAACTGAAACTAAAACTGCCTGGCTCCAGTAGAACTCTGCCTGTAATGCACATAGTAAACATTACTGAAGTTTCATCCATTTCTGATCATGAATGAGTGTCAGCTTTGTTAAGTGTTACAGGATTTTTCTCAAAACTCTATACTTGATCATTTACAGGGTTTCTGAGAAAAGTGTGTGTTTTTAATATACTGTGATGCCCTTATAGGGTCACGCTGCTGTGGGAGGTGTGTCTGGTTGGCTTCACTATGCACACCTGGGCGCTGGGAGTATCTAAGCTCCCACAGTGACTTGCAATTCTCTCTTTCGTTGCTCCAGTCTGCCTTTATGGGCACTTAATTTGTCTTGGTTTGGTTTGGCTTAGGCTTTGTCTGGTTTGGTTTGGTTTAACTTGGTTTGGCTTGGGCTTTGTTTAGTTGTATTTATGTTTGCTCTGTACAACACCCTTGCACACATACACCTACCTTCCAGTCATGCACACCCTACACACTACTGGTTTCACTGATTTACACACCTCATTTCTTAAATATTCTAATTTGGTTCAATTGGATTTAATAAAGATTTGTTTTGATTCTTATACATGGTGTGTTCTTTCTTTCTTTGTTGTGACCACCTGAGCCAGGTCATGACAATACAGAGTTCCCAATCAGCTTATCACTGAACGTTTTTGATAAACACATATTTCAATGATATGTTTTGCAGGTAAAGCACAGAATATAGGTAACATCTTGGTGTAGTTTGTAAAAGTTTCTGACAGGGAGATGAGCTTTAAATATTTACAGCGCCACTAATGCAAAATCGAGTTACAGTGTACTCCTTTTCGCCTACTCTGGAAAAAGGACCTACAGGATACAACGATATGTGGTAACAAAGCTGAATGCACATAGTAAACATTACCGACCTTCAACAACAAGCTCCACTGAAAATCAAAATGCTCTATGCAACTGCAAAATTCATCCATACTTACAACCACTGGATGTGGTTTTTAGACACTTTCTCGATGAGATGGACTCCTTCAAGGACATGGGTAACATCATAGACCCGTCTCTTTGGAGCATTAAGCTTCTCGGACACCAGATTAAGGTCCAATACTCCATCAGTGGATTGTTTCAGCAGTTCTGCAAACCTCCTGGTCAAGAACACTAGCGAAGTGTCATCCCGGGACAACGAAGATCTTGGTGCAGCGGAATCAGGCATTAGCTGCATAAAATGGGTGAGGATGGATCATTTTTGGACTTGTTGTCTTTTTTGAGTTTTCTTATATTCATAGTCACGCTTGTTGAGAGATACAAAGTATATCATAAATTTCAAATTTTCTTCCAACTGAAATTCAGGCTCCACACCCAAAGGGGCAAGAATTTAAGGATAAACCTCTTTCCTGGACAATAAAACGAATACCAAGCATATGTTTTAGCAAGGCATTTAAAAGCCCACTGCTTATCCTTCAACATGACACTCAAAGGACAGAAAAAATAGAATTAACCTTGGGATGATGACATACTCTAAATATGGCGCTGTAAGCAACCAGTGAAAAACTGTGCATGTGATAAAATAACAAAAACTTCATTGATCCCCAAAGTGGAATTGAATTGTCTGTAGTCTCATATCGTCAGTGTCATCTCATTACATTGGGAACTGGCTGCAAAAATATGGGCTGTCTTGTCTCCTGACCTCTCAAATCACTTAGTGCACAAACACCTTAATTTTTTTAGTTCAATTCAAATATAGTGAATATAATAGTTATAATATTAGTGAGTCATGAGTTTGAATGGATACATGTGTTGAAAGTATAGTTTATCCTTCATTCTAGAGTCTTCATTCACAGTGACAGACTGATTGCTTTTGGGTTAAAGATAAGAGCTTGTCTATGGTTTGAAATAACTTTGTACAATTATCTCCTTTGATGCCGACTTGTTATTGAGATGTACTAGTTCAGTGGGGAAATGAAGCTTTCAAACTGCTACTTCTTTTTTATTTTAAACTCTTAAAAAACATTTCCTGAATTTTTTTTAAGGGGATTTCATGTTCATCTGACTACTTTCATAATATATTGTAGTTGTGGCAATTAGTGAAGAAAACTGGATGTAATGTGCTGTTGAGAGCAGCTGGACTCAGTAAACAGAAAACAACGTCCTAACAACAGGTAACTTTGCCTTTCTGTGGTTTATTTCCTGATCATGTGGATGTAGTACAGTTTAGATCTTCCAACAATGGCTGACTTTAAACCTTTCTGTTTTTATTCATTTTTTGTTTGAGACGTCTTGTCTCTCACAAGCATGTTAAAACGGTCATCATCAAGCCATGATACTATCCATCTAAACCTAAAAGAAATCTTGCCCAGTGGGGAACAGCAGTGGTTGGGAACCTGATAAATCTATCAAGTACAAACTCTTACTTTTTTCTCCAGTTTGGGATTGAGAGGCCATGGCTCATTTGACTCGGGGGAGCCTGCTATCATGCTGAAGTTCTGGTGGAGTCTCCTGCCACTTGCTCTGACCTTGTATGAGCCCTAGGCAAAGACAGAGGCATCCAAAACACATGTCAGACTTCAAACAAACAAACAGAATATGACATGCAAGTACCTAAATGCATTGGGATGTTGGAATATTATCAAGTGATAATATGACGCTAACCTCCAGTGCGAGAGTCTGGTCTCACCCTGATAGTACTGTAATTCACATAACTGTCTATTTGACATCCATTACATACATACACTCCTTTTAAACATACAAAAGACCTGATGAAAGTTTTGTCAGAAAATTTCCAAGCAAAATAAAAACTTCAAAAGTATATACAAATAAATCTGACATACAAATCAAGGAACAGACACCAGTTTACAACATTTAGGGCAGTTACTGTACTCCCACTATTTTGAAAGTTATCGGAGAAGCTCTTTGCTGCCTCACTTTTTAGCTTCATTGAGAAACATGACTGACTGAATATCAATACGTTTTCAGACAAAAACTTATCAATTACCCTTGTACTAATCGACTTAATTAAAGAAATCACAAATGGCATCGATAAAAGGGAGTTTATTATTTAAATATTAATTGACCTAAAAAAAGCCTTTCACACTGTATAAACCATAAAATTCTAATGAAACAGAGAAATATTAGGGGAACTGCACTGAGCTGGCTGAGAAGCTGTCCAGGCCACAGATAGCAGTCTGTCCAAATTGGCAAATACATCTCCTCAGGCTAGAAATTTATGTGTTGTTGTGTTCCCCAAGGGTCGATAATAGGTCTCTACAGGTTCAGGGATAAAGTCTGCTTTGATGGATGATTCCAATCCATTCATCTTTTGCTGTAGCTCAGCATTTAAATAACTTTTCTGAGATTTGTTGGTTTAGTCACAGTGTATCCTCTATGTGTTATGCTTTTCTTTCAGAAATGTAGGAATGATGGTCCAAAATTGCGTTAAGATGTAAAAAATAACGAGGTTTATCTTGGCCAGCACTCGAGGTGCCCAGCACCCCTAGAGCTCTGATCCCAGAATCGCCCCTGCTCTGAAGTTTAACGTCTTTTTTAACTACTCGACGCAGATTCAGGGCCGAAATTCCACAGAGAGGACGAGCTGAACAGGTACACTGATTGAACAAAGATTTTCACCACATTAAAGGACCCGACTCCCGGTACAGACACAAATCTGTGCCTGTTGTGGCGACATGTCCGAATCCCGAATGCCCGTTTACTGCTCACCTATAACCTGAAGTGTGGTTTCCCTAACAACAAAAGTGTCACATATTAAAAGTTTATGACTGAAAGTTGGTGAAAGTCAGATAAATTAACTCGATCACTTACTCAATCTAATGAAAGTCTGATAAATTCACTCACTTACCTTCTGCTATTGCTTCTTCCTCTGTAGTGGTTGGTAAACAACATTTAAGTGCATTACCGCCACCCACTGTCTTCTTCTTCTCGTTCGTTTAATTGGCGGTTGGCAACCAGCTTAAGGAGCATTACTGCCACCTACTTGATTGGAGTGTGGCACAGGAAAGAAAGAAAGAAAAAAGGATTTATGCATACAGAGACATACTCACAAAACTCTAAAGTTAAACTCTGCACAATAAGCCAGTCTCCTTCAAGTACTTCATTAAAGACTTGAAAGGCCAAGAATGGCGCCGCTAGACCAGCTAGCAGTTGGGATAACCCTGCTTTTTGTGTTATAGCATTTCCCACCCATCCAAAGCTAGTAAAATTTGTTTTATTATGCTCACAGCATTCTTGCGGTAGTACTGTTTTTTGTTGAGTGCAACATGCCCTGGCCTTGCAAATTTACCCAATACGCCAACATTAGTTCCTGATACATAGCATCAGGGGATGTTTTAAAAGCTCCACTGCAAATTCAAAGGGCCTACTCTACATCCAGGTTCTTTAAGTGTGTGTCTGCTGCAGACATGTAAGCTACACACCCATAATCAAGTGCAGCTCTCATCATGGCACAGTAAATATTTAACACTGACTTTCTATGAACTCCCCAGTCCCTTCAGGGGATCACAACAACTTGTTAATCTTTTTGCATTTTTTCTTTATGTTCTCAACATGCCGACTCCATGTGAGCTTCTCATCAAATGTGACCCCCAGAAACCTTTTTTCTCTGATCTGCTCAAGTACTTGGCCATACAACTGGAATGGTACATGTTTGTGCTGTTTATGAGAACATATGACCTGGGACTTTGCAATGGACAACTCGAAACTTGAAACCCCACTTATGCATCTACTCCTCTATTCTATTTATTACACCTTGCATGTCCTTCATTAAAAAGTCCAGATTTCTCCCTCTAACCCAGAGTGCATCATCATCAGCATAGAGTGACCTCCTACTGTTCGGCCCACCTCAACAAATATGTCATTAATCATTACATTAAACAGTATTGGGCTGCATACACTACCCTGCGGAGTACCATTTTCCACCATGTAAACCAAGGGTGGGCAATCATGTGCCATGGAGGGTCGAGAGGCTGCAGGTTTTCTTTCCAACCCAAAACTCCACCAGGTGATTTCACTGATTAGTCCCTGCTCTGCAGCCTCTCGACCCTCCATGGCACATGATTGCCCACCCCTGGTTTACACACTTGAATACTCAGCTCCCACTCTTGTATTTTTCTTCCAAATAAAAAACTAAGCATCCAATTATACATTTTCCCTCCTCGTCTTCCCTCTTTCCTGTCATCTGTAAGACCACATCTAACATTTTGGATCTAACTTCCACTTCTTTTGCCACTTTCCCCTTATCTTTTTTTTTTTTTTTTATTGACTTGTAATAACAATAAAAACAGGAAGACTCAATGTAGGATTTTAGAACAAAGCCATTTGGAATTTGACCAGTGGGCCAGTTATGTTCTGCTTCTGGTAGCTAAACAGCATCAGTCCACTTTATGGGATCCCATGATAATAAACATTTTTTTCTACTCCATGTTCCCTCAGGGCAGTGGTTCTTAAGTCCAGTCATCGAGGCCCACTGTCCTGCATGTTTTGGATGTTCCCCTGCTCCAACACACCTGATTCAAATGATTAGCTCATTATTAAGCCATTACAGAGCTTGATAACGAGCTGATCATTTGAATCAGGTGTGTTGGAGCAGGGGAACATCCAAAACATGCAGGACAGTGGGCCTCGAGGACTGGACTTGAGAACCACTGCCTTAGGGTCTCTGTAGTAGCCTGATAAAGAGGTCACTATACATTACATGCTGCACATTTGAAAGTGGCATCACATTTTTTGCCTTTTTAGGTGTGTCATTTATTCAGAACTTCATTCTTATCCTGTCTTTGTATCTGACAAATAGCTGCTCCTCAAAACATGACTGACTTGTTCATTATGCATTTCTACATGAACAGTAAGGCAGCGTGGTGTTTAAATATGATGAAGGGATTTCTTTGTTTAAAGAATGAAATGCTTTCATAACATCCAGACTAGATTACTGCAACAGCATACTATATGACTCATCATCCAAAATCCTCAATAAACTCCACTGCATTCAGAACTCTGCTGCCCGTCTGCTCACCCGCACCAACTCCCAAGAACACATCACCCCTGTCCTCCAAAAACTGCACTGGCTCCCCATCTCACACCACATACAATTCCTCCTGCTCACCTACAAATCACTTAACAACCTGGCTCCCACCTACTTCACACACCTGCTCCATCACTACACCCCCCCCCCCCCCGTGCCCTGCGATCCTCACAGGGAAATCTTCCTGCCCCCTCAGACCAAGCATCGAACTTGGGGGTCAGAGCCTTCTCTGCTGCCGCCCCCACCCTCTGGAATTCACTCCCCAAACCCATCCAAGACTGTACAGACCCCCACACTTGCAAATCACTCCTAAAAACACACCTTTTTAAATTGGCTCTTAACCTGTGAATTGTTCTTTTATTGTCTTCTAATATTATGTCTTTTTTGTAACCTTTTACATTGTTGGTTTAATTTTTCCAAATTTTCTGTATTTTAAATCATGTTTTTTATTTTATTTTCTTCTTTTTCTTTGTAAGGCATCTTTGAGCACCTGTAGAAGCGCGTTATAAATAATTTTTTTATTTATTATTATGAATACACCGTGTACAAACATTAAAATTGCATCTATAAAAATCTTATTATTGAGAGATGATTTCTTTAGGTACCTGCAAGTGAGACATTATTATAACAAAAATATTACAGAGGCATTAGGAAAATACGAGTCAGGATTCATAGAAGTATTCTTAACATTAATTAAGTCCAGATCTTGCAAAATTATCTCTAAATTATATATTGCCATACAATTATTCAAACATGAGAATACAGAGGACATAAAGAGGAAATGGGAAACAGAAATAAGGACAATAATTACACAAGAGAGCTGGGAGAAAATATGTCGACTACAATGGATGTCAACCAGCTAAAACACACGGCGGGAATTCTGTTGGAAAAGTATAACAAGCTTTTTCATCACACCCATCCAAAAGTGTCTTCAAGGAAAAGGGGACACTTGTTGGAGACTCTGTGGGTCTAATGGAGCCAACCACTTCCATATTTTTTGGGATTTCCAAGCAATAAAATCCTACTGGGAAGAGATCCACAAACATATTACAAATATATTTAATGTGAGCATTCCATTAAAATGTGAATCTATGTTTTTGGGTGATATAATGTTTGAAACATGGAACATATCAGATAAGAATCTGCTGACTATACTGTTGGCAGCTAGTAAGAAATGTGTCACCAGGAAATGGTTAAAAGTGGAAGCTCCCACCATCACTGAATGGATTGAAATGGTTTATGAGATTTATGTTATGGAGATTTCTTTTTCCCTCTAAGTTGAGGTAGAATTTCTATTCATAAAATCTGGTCTGAATGGACTGAGTATGTGAAACCAATCAGACCTGATTTTATTTGACCGCACTAGTGCTTTGTGTAAACCTAACCTCTTTTACTTTATTTTATTTTTTTTGGATGAAGGGTGGGCTCCTGGGTTCTGTAGTTTTATGTGTTACTGTTTGCACTTGAAAGGTTTGGGTCCGTGGAAAAAGATTCAGAAGGGCAATATGGACAACATTACTGTGTCCAAACTGAATTAATGTAAGTGCGTTATATTTGTGATGAAGTTGTGCCTTTCTGAATAAAAAAAAAAAATATGTATGTTATATTATTATTTTATTTTTTAAAACAAATTAAATTAATACTTGTATAAAAAAATACCAAGAACAGGAAAATGCCAGCTGAGTTACAGCCTTGTTGATGGTGGGTTTCATAACAGTTTTACAAAATTAATTCTACATCAACTCTATTGACCACTTTCGACATCCCAGTTCAATGTCCATCAACATGAAGAAAAAAAACAAACATCACTGCCTTACAATTTAACACTGACAGATCAACTTGAACAACTTGGAGGTGGTATTAATATACAATGAAAAATAACTGCTTTATTGTCAACAATTTGGTCGATTTTGTAAACCAAATATCTTACATTCTTACATGGAGAAAAATAAGTTTACAACCTGCTAGACATCTATACTCGGGAATACAGCGATCAACTCATCTGCAATGAATACCAAACAGAATCAATGGTGGGCTTCACACTTTGCTAGTGTACTGTAAACACAAAATTTAAATATGGAACCCAAGTTTCAGTCATCATTGTCAAATCTGATCTTCTTTCCCTGGAAGGCCAGAATTTGTCCTTGCTGCTGCTTCCTTTTCTTACTGGCTTCCCAGGATGGATGCAAAGCCTGCTTTTTGTCTTGATGGTTAAAGAAAGCTTCATCATGAGATTTGAGCAGGCTGCCCTTCTCACACGGCCTTCTGTACTTGGACCCTGGGTTGAATCCTGTTCTATTCCCTTGTTGTTGGAGCCTGGGTGGTTTATTACTGTTGCTTTTTGGATGACTAACACCCTGCAGTTTCTCATAGCCCCTGACGTTATCTCCCTCTTTCCTTCTGCCGACACCTTTATTCATTCCTGGCGCAGAGAGGGAAGAACAAAATACAGTCTGAAACATGGTTGTTTTAGCCTTTCGATCAGTTCCACTCTGGTCCTGGTTGGGTGGGTCCACCTTTGCTTTACTCCTTCCATCCAGATTGTTTTGCTTCTTCTTCTTAAATTTGCTCACTTTTCCTACAAAGAAGTCATCGTCCTCATCGCTCCCTTCAGATTGGGAGGACTGTCTATGAAAACGTTCCTCTGTGCTGTCATCAAAGTACTCTTTCTCTTCATCATCTAAAAGCTCTAAATCACTTTCTAACTCATCTTTCTTTTGCTGAACGCCTTTGGACTCGGTGTTGGGTTTTTCCTCTGCCATCTCAACTGGAATATCATTTTTTACAATTTCTTTCACAACAGTTCTTTTTAATGATGACTGCTTAATGTTCGTATTTTCTGATGCTTTGCTGCTTTGACCATCCTCCGTGTCATTTGTTTTGCTCCTTTTCTTTTTGGGTGTAGCTACAGCTCCATCTTTAATGTCTTTGCGGATACCATCTCCTCTCTCACTTTCAGTGATTTCCAGGTGCTCTGCTGTGATGTGCTCCATTGTCTTCTCACTCTGTCTTTCTCTTATTTTCTCTGATGATTCTGGCACAAGGTTTCCCATCTTATTTTGCCCTTTCACCGTCTTTTCCCGACCTCCAGTCTTCATCCGCTCCTCTTTAAATGCTTTCAATGCAGCTTTTATGTCTTCTATCTTTTTGTTGAACTGGGGATGGCTGGCAATACGTGCTACTGCCCGTTCAGAAATAGTAGACTTGGGGTCTTTACACACCTGATCAAAGCTGAGATTCTTTACCAGGGCTGTCTTTGTCACCTGAGAAAAGAGGAAACAGATTATCCAATAGGAAATTTATTACCAATTTTCAGCATTGTGAAAACAATGTGATTTGAGATTAAAAAGACAATACTGTGTGAAAATGGATTTAAAAATGATGATGACTTGATTGATGGAAGTTTAAACAAAACTTACCAGGTCAGGTGAGAGCGCCTTCATGGCATGGATCTCTTCAAGCAGTCTGGTTGCTCTTCTTTGATTTCTTTCAATATCTGTGTCTTTACCCTTCTTCTTCTTTAAGACCCCCATCTGTCGTGTCAGCCTTCTGATGATCAAGGCTCTCACTCTTTTCACCTCTTTTCTCATCTTAACCACCTCATTGTTAAGGTTGAGACCCTCAATCTGCTTTTTGTCCCTGGGCTCAGTAGAATTTTTTGCAGCTTGTGGCTTCTCTTCTTCTCCCTCTTCTTTATCATCTATACCCTCCTGTTCCCTCTGTTCTTCATCCTCATGGACAGTTTCCTCTTCTATGTTACACTCACACTCTTCCTCCTCCTTTTCCTTTTCCTCAGCAGAAGGTGACATCATCTTGAGCTTATCCATGGTAAATTTCACCTGATGAAGAAAGTCAAACATTATCAACCCATAACTGTACCATCACAAATAAGGGTGCAACAGCAAAACCCTGAAGTCCTGTGTTACTGACATTGATTTCTTCCTTAATACAACGTGAGCTTAAACTAAATAACTACCCAGTTTGTCCAAAGGTAAGAAAAAGTCCAAAGTGAGCACAATTCATTAAACAAACTAAACATGGGATCACAGAGTCCGTGGGCAAACAATGTCAAACTTTTGTTGAATATAACATTTGCAGTAGTAAAGCCAAAAGCTTTGTCCCTCTTTGCAGTTAACGTCCACCTGCCTGTGCTTGCTTATTACATTTATTTACTTGACATACAACTTAATCTCCAACTTCTAGATGAAAACACCGCCAAACCCACTGTCGATGTAATGAAATCTATTAGCCATGCTTGTTCACATACTCTACACAGTCCAGTTGCCTGTTTTTGGAGTCTTTAAGAAAACAATGACCTGGATGAATGAGAATCTACATGGACATTACAGCAGTCACTGTAATCAAGTAGTAAAGTTGTCATCTATTTTGTTAATTGTTATACGAGCTTGTGAGAAACTGTGGGAATTGATATGCACATCATGCAGGTGCATAAGGTTAAGCAATTGCCCCAAGGCAAACAACAATATTCTATGTGATTCAAAATTGCATCTTCTGACATAAATAATGTTGTTTACACAGTTCTGTCTTACTAGCAAATCATAAGCAGTGTCTAAACTGCTATGAGCTGAAAATAAACACTTTTCCATCACACATTAACATATCACTGTTTAACTCACAGTAGTTAAATGATCAGATTTTTCTCTGTCATTAATGTCCTGAATGAATGAACGGATATCATGATCTTGGAAGACAACAATAAGCAATGCTCTTTGAACGACTAAAGTGGGAAGAAACAAGAAGAGAAGTAACCACATGGGAAGTGTTTGGTGCGTTGAGAAAGTTATGCAGCTCGCTCTGCTGTCCTCTCACATTTAGCCACATGAAAGACAAGTCTGAATAAATGAAAAATATTTGATACATCTAGTAAGGACGATCGACTGCTACCTTGTTGGGCGTTTGCTGTCATGCACCGTGCGTGTATCACATGGGTCGTTAAATTTTCTTCTCTTTCTTTGAGATGATCCAACCGTGTGCTGAAAGAGAAGGAAAACAGTAAGTCCCAGCCATTAGAGACTTTGAACAGCTCCTATCATGGCCGACTCCAACACTCTTAACCAAAAAATACACTCCCAAAGGACCCTGGCCCAGCTCTGCAACTTAGTAAACTGCACAAGCTGTCTGCTGTATTCAGGAAACAAGTAAGGGTGAAGACCAGGACCATATATCTCAAACTACAAATCCTTCATCAGATGCCGATCTCCAGACAAACCACATTCGCATCCAATCGCAGACTAATCATCAAAAAGCTTTCAAAAATAAAAATGGGATTAAGTATCATAAAGTAACTTGTATTTCTGATGAGAGGGAAGATATAAAATGACGGACGACTCCCGAGCAAACGTGGGTGAACATGCGTGTTTACGTTTTTCAATACAAAGCAAAGAATTGGAGATTTCGCACATTTGTGTTCCAAAGACATTAGCGTGGCAACTGAAAGTGAAGACGGCACTCCCTCTTATTGACAAACTTACCGTGAAAATAGATTATTACTTAAAATCGAAGACGGTGTTCCGACTCGTAGCGCGCCGCCATATTTAGTTTCGTTCGCCTCAGCTGTGACAGAGGCATGACGTCAAAACGCAAGCGAGAGGACGCTGTCGTGAAAAGGGGAGGGTCTTTAGTAAGCCTGTTTTTATTTATTTCTTTGTTCATGTGCATAAAACAACAACAATGGTGGAGAACTGACGAAGTGTTGAAATTTGGACGAGTGAATGACATTTTCTGTTCCAGTTCAAAGACCGATATCAACACTGAACCTACAGGGGGGAGGATGAAGCGGCGCAATGCGGACTGCAGCAAACTCCGACGGCCCTTAAAACGGAACCGAATCACCGAGGGTATTTATAGCAGGTACAAAAGGGGGCTGGATTGTCGTTAATGTGTAACAATGGCGCCTTTTTGTGTATGCCAATCTATATATCAGCCATCCTGTGCTACATACACACGAGTCCCGCTGTGGCTCTAAAGCATCGGGCAGCTAACATGTCCAGTTATTGTTAATTTGAAAGGCCTGTCGTTAATCCTTGAGTGTGATATCTTTCCAGCTAAGTGATGAAATTGTGATGTTTATAAATTCAAGTATCAACACTAATAACCGAAAATGCAGCCACAAGTATGTACAGAACTTCAGTTTCTGTTCATTTTGCTCAATGGAAAGATGAATAGAAAGTGTTTAATTTGTCAAACTATGCTGTAGCGCTGAGACGAGCTTTGTTAACGGCCACCCGCTCGTGGGTCTGGGTAACGCGATGGCGCTATCTCACCTGTGCTTTTCCCGGTGAGGTTGTATTGCTTAATTGCATTTCGTAAGTGAAACATCAGTCTGAAAAAAACGCCGGATAAGAAAAGTGAGAGGAAACTGGATGATGTCAAGGTACAAAGAAAAAAATCGCATGTGCTTCAAGTAACATCAGCAGCTTTTACATGCCTGCTGTCTTTTGCTTTAAGCTGCATCCACCTCCTTAATGCCTTTCTAGCGCTTTTTGGATTTCTCTCAGTCCCAATAAATTTCATTATCGTTGTAGAGTTTCGTCGTATTTTCAGTCGTGTGAAATGCTTAATTGAATTGGCATTTATCCTCAGATCCATTTGGCAATCGAGGTATCCTTTTACGCGTCACGCTGGATATGTGGCTCTTGTTAAGACTTAATCACTGCATAATCTGATATTTAGAAATGTGGTGATCTTTGCTCAGGAGCCTTGTAATACTCATGTCAAGTCTGTTCTTTCACAGTTTTGCCCATTGTCCCCCCTCTGCTGTGCTTTCTCCAACAGTACCTTCCTGTACCTGAAGTTCCTGGTGGTGTGGGTGCTAGTTCTTTTGGCTGACTTTGTGCTGGAGTTTAGGTTTGAATACCTGTGGCCCTTCTGGCTTTTCATTCGTAGTGTCTACGACTCCTTCAGATACCAGGGACTGGTAAGACCTACTTTGTATGCCTCCATCTCTACCTGTAGGGTTTTGGTTGTCACTCTTATGGAGGTATTAATCTATTTATAACAATGATGATATCAATTTTTGCCACCTTTTGAACAGCTGATGTGTTCATATATCAGGGATGGGAATTGTGGAGTCAGCAAGTCATCTCCATGTCATGTATTTGTTCTGCTCTGTCACTGAACCAGCTGCTTCCAATGAGCAGCCAGGAAGGTGAGCTCATTAGTGAAGGCACCTGGTTCAGTAACTGAGCAGAACAAATACATGGCATGGAGATGACTTGCTGACTCCACAATTCCCATCGTCATATATTTATGGAAGTAAAACTAATTATCATAATTATCACAATTATTGAAAAGGGTTGTAAGTTTGTTGTCGTGTAGCAATGTAACATGATTGGTCACCTATTTATGAGCATCAGGGTGCAAAAATATACAAACTTAAATTTCTGCTTCCCTGTATAGCACTATGTATCCCCAGTCTACATGAAAAACGAAAATGGATGAAACCCATACTGCCGACTACATCTGGTTCCATCATGGAAATCTTTCTATTAAATATAATGAAGGTAGCTTGGATAGTGTCATACTTAACAGTCATTGCAGGGGTTGGCCACTTAAACAAGAATGAGACAAGACAAGGTTTCAGTTTGCAAGTTTGCAGTACACAGTCTTGTGTGTATGTGTCATATGGTCAGGGGTGCATGTTTATGCCTCAATTTGAGTGTTCAGTTGTTATACATATTTTCCTGATAGAGTTTTCCATAATTGTTCTATTATTTGTATTTGTTTGTCTCTTTTGTTTGTCACAATTAGGCATTCTCTGTCTTCTTCGTATGTGTCGCATTTACATCAGACATCATCTGCCTCCTCTTCATCCCTGTCCAATGGCTGTTTTTTGCTGCCAGCACCTACGTTTGGGTCCAGTACGTCTGGCACACAGGCAAGTCCAAGTTTACCATAAACTCTTATATCTGCCAGCCACAAAGTATCTTTCATATAAGCGCACAAGTAATTCAGAGCTGCCAATATTTATCAGTTCCAGACAGAAGAGCTCTGATGTTTCTTTCTTCTCATCTTTTCCTTTAACACAGAGAGGGGAGTCTGTCTACCTACAGTATCACTGTGGATCCTGTTTGTGTACATTGAAGCAGCCATACGTTTCAAGGATTTGAAGAACTTTCATGTAGACCTATGTCGACCCTTTGCTGCTCACTGGTAATGTCACTGTTGTATACTACGTATTGGTCCTTTTATTTCTTTTTATATGAAAGTGATAAATGACTACAGTATAGATGATAAAACAGCAGGTAATTACCTGAAACTGTATGACTACCATCATACTAAAAGCTGACTGTGTTTCTCCTCACTCCCCAGTATTGGCTATCCTGTTGTGACTCTGGGCTTTGGCTTTAAGAGTTATGTTAGCTACAAGATGCGTCTGAGAAAACAAAAGGAAGTGCAGAAGGAGAACGAATTCTACATGCAGCTTCTACAACAGGCTTTACCACCAGAGCAACAAATGCTTCAAAGACAAGAGAGGGAGGCAGAGGAGGGTGAGACAAAACTTATAAAAATAATTATTTCTGCTGTAAAACACAATGCAGAAAATATAATAATGGTAATAATGGTCAGAATAAGAAAAATTGCAGTCGAAATGAAGTGTGATCACACAGTAGATTCTTGGTTAGAAAAGTTCCTAGATGAGTGAAAGGACCAGAAAATGTTTATTGACTCTAAACCATGATGAGAGCTGTTCGAGTTCTCCTCATGTCAAGAAAAGGGGCTTTGCTGCGTTCTCTTTCATCTCTTCCATTACACGATATACAGGACCATGTAGTGTCTGTAAGGAATTAAAATGTACCAATCCACAATTGATTTAGGGAACTACCTTTGTGAGACATGTCTCTCAGCCATCAATGAAAATAAATGATCAAGAGGAGATCAATCGATCTTTTTTTATGGAGCACAAATTCACAAAAAGTGTTATCCCAAGACACTTAATAAAAAAAAACGGAACTAGGCCAGACTCTGTTAACAAAGACCCAATATAAGGATGGGATAAGATTGAGCCCCATCTATTAAGATCAGACCCACTCCCACCTTTAACCACATAAATGCAGCACTTTGCAGCATTTAGCAAGGAAAAAGTTACTATTAACAGGCAGGAACCTTGAGCAGAATTCGACTCATTTTAGACATCATCTGCAGATTGGTATGCTTACTTTGCTTACTTTGATTTGCTTAAGTTCAAGGACAGCTTCTTGTGATCAAAACAATCCTCCAACACATTGAAATTACTTTAAGTGCAGCTGCTCTAGACTTTTCCTGGAGCAGAAAAAAAAATCAGTAAACAAACTGAGGCACATCACAGTTGTCATTTATACAGATTCAATAGTTTGGGTCCAAGAATTGAGCCTTGTGGGACCCCTCAAGTAACCCAGAGTAATTCTGAATTTAATAATTGATAAAGTATCTTGATATCTATCATTGAGGTAACTTTTTATCCATGAGTATGCTAACTCTCAGATTGCATGTTTCTATTTTTGATTGATAGTGTCATAGGCTTCTTTTTTAAAGTCAAGAATTACCCCTATGATAGACATGGCGTGAGTGCAATTCACCTGTTAGGAGTGCTACTGGATTGAGTCAGCACTTTGGTTTTCCTGTCCTATATCTGTTGTTACACCTTTCCATAACTCTAAGGCATTTTCCAATGAAATAAAAGAGAGTCATTTTGGAAGAAACAAATGGGATCAATATTTTAGTCTTTCATCACAGCAGTGGTTTCTAAGTAAACTTACGGAACATTTTAAAGAAGGGGAACAAGGATGACCAGGATGTCAACAGCAAATATTATGGGCTTAAAACATGACCATTTGAAATAACATGCACTTGAATTTGTATTTACTGAGTGAAATAACCAATTCCAAGATCAAATTAGTGTAGGGCCATACATTTTTATGTGTTATTGTTCTGATATTTGAAATTGTGACTAAATTGTTTTCCCATAGAAAAATTGTGTAGCCTAGTGGCAAGTAGCTTTTGTGAGGGTCTGCCATGCCTGAATTGAGTGAGTGATAAAAGCTGGAAGACAACTGAAAGATATGATGGCATAACTTGTTGTTATCGATAGCTTATTTCTACGACATACATTTTAAAAAAAGAAAATGATCTTGCAAAGTGTTATGAACTTCAGCATATTTAGGCAGTTTGACCTGGTTGTTATATTGGAGCCAGAGTTAGGTTGCCAGCCTGTACTACAGCTGGAAAAAAAAGCTAAACAAGAATATTTTTTCTTCACAAAGGCTGTATTGCATGGTCTTAATGTCATTATTTTGGAATTTGGTGAATTCTGTTAATTATGTTCATGTCTTCTAACACTGTCCACATTTATCTTCTTCAGCAGCTTTAGCCAAAGGACTCTCTGAGACAGAGCCTGTAGTGATATCCCAAAATGGAGCACCTCCTGGAAAGAAGAGTACCTCTGCTCCTTTGCCAGAGCTGGAGTATCGGGAGAAAGGGAAGGACAGTATTGCAAAAGAGCGTGAGGGAAAAAAACAGAACACAATTGGAATCAATAACAACAGTATTATGCATGCACTGGACTCCAAACTACAGGAAACCGAGTATATAGAGAACTATGTTGGGGCGAAGAGACTAAATAATGACTTGGCAGGAGAAAACACGCTTGCAGATACCAACACACATTCTACAAATAAAGATGAGTTGGGAGGGGTAGGGAAGAACTACAAAAATTCCAGTGGGGTTGTGGGTAATATCTCCAACTTGTCCCCACGGAATCACTGTTCTTCAAATGGCAGTGTGCCACCTGTTTCTTCAACCACCAAGAATGAGAGGAAACAGAAGGGGACAGGGAAAGGGCAGAAGGACCCTGTAGAAAACTGCATCCCCAACAACCAGTTGTGCAAGTCGGATGCTTTAATACGGTAAGATAACTTCCTTTATACTGCTCTGCTAATTAAGATATCTTGTAATTGTTTCTTTGTAGTTGTTAAGTTACACGGTGACCTTGATTCTCTGAGTGAAGAGACTATTCCTCCACATTTACATATTCCATATGCATTAAGACAGATCTAATGGGGCAGCTGACGTGGATCTCTTTTTAAAGCTTCTTTCAGACATACACAAAATTTCTTATAAATCTCCTGAAATTACCTGATTAAGCTGCTTTTCCATATAACACCACTGTAACATGGAAGAGTGGCACATAACATGGTTATTTGATATTATATGATAAATGATTTTAAGAAGGCCTCTCCAGTGTGGTCATACCACTTATCTGTTGATACTGAGGATGATAAAAAGCTTAAAAAATCTGTAACCAAAGGGCATTTGTCTGTCTGTGTGTGCCAACTTAAAAAAAAATTAAAAACTATGTTGCAGTCATTAGCATTAAGACAGCAGTGGATTTACAAACCAACACTTTCTGAGGGGGACTCAAAAACAAAAACAAAGGAACTCAGATTAAAACTTGTGGTAGAATAAAATGAAAGGATCAGGGGTTTTAATCATGGATGGGATTGTAAAAAATTAAATGCAGCGCCTATTTTAAATCCTGATCCATCCCCTGAGATCCACTCTTGCTGTAAGTTAAGACCCATCACCCCATAAAAGGACTAAGTGTTCATGAATTGATGATTGACTAACATTGAACGGGCTTACCATTACCATGGCTTCCCTCAGAGAACCAAGGTTACCGCTCTCCATCGTAGCAAGACTATTTCTCCACACAGTTACATACTTTCTTGGGGACCATTTAGGACCCATGTCAAGTGGAAAGGGGAGAGAGAGCAGATGCCATTTTCCACACACTCCTCAAGGAGTCTCTGGTATCCAAACAAGGTGTCCCAGCCACCACAGTGCTCTGAAAAAGGGAGTGACAAAATGACTGTGAAAAACTGTGTACAACTAAACCAAAACACAAAAATGCCAAGATGCAAGTGTACAAATACGGCACCAAGATTGTATCATTTGTTGTGATGAAGCACCAAGTACTTGTTCCACAAAGGAGGTACTGATTGCCCCTCTACCTCACAAAGGTAGAGGGGCTTGCCCACAAAGCTGCTGCACAAACCCCAGAGAGGCTGGCACCCCCTGTGTAGAGTGTGCCCTTACTCCTTCTGGTGCTTGAGAACAAACACCTATGTATGCCTGCTGAACTGATTCAACAATCCAGTGTGACAGCCTAGATGTGGACACAGGATAAGCAAGAGTCACCTATAGCAGAGTAACAGCTGATCTGTTCTTGGGCAAAGCAGGAGGATCAGAGCTTTACTGACCGAATGAAGTGGAGGTTTGAGAGCATCCTTTTTTCAGAAAGGCTGGATTCAGAAGCAGGATAATGCTGTGTCAATAGGGAGGAAATGACTGCAGTAGATTGACAGAGCCTGTAATTATCTCACTTTCTTGCTGATGTCATCACCAAAAGATACATGGCCTTGAGTGACAAAGTGGCTCAAAGGGCTCCTCTTGTGAGGCAATCAACACAAAGTCTAGATCTTGTGCAGCGACAGCTCAGCGGTCACCCTGAGTTAGCCTTTTACCTTCAGCCTGATTGGTCCTGCCCTTTAAGGCAGACCTGAGAAATACCTTCAGAAACTGGTTTTGAAAATAGAGATCCTTGAGGTCAATAGTGACAAACCAGTCATCCGCAGGCCTCCTGAGCCGACTGCGCCATTGTGAAGCCATCAAGCCCAAACATGGTCGATGGCTCTATAGGCATCCTTGGCAGGCACACCCTGTCCCCCTGCTGCAGCATTACTAATGCTGTGGCTGACCAGCCGCCTCTGTCTGCTCCCTCATCTGTGTAGTGATGTGAGGAGGATCTGGTGCAGCTCCTCCAGGCACTCTGCACTACATGCCTCCTTAAGCTTCTTGGCAAAATGACGATGGTAGAGAGCCAATATTGTCCCTCAATAGCCAGTTGGGTTTGTACTACCTTTGCACCATGCATTTTGAGAGCAGGACGTTCATTATTTCACAGGTCTACCTGAGCAGCTACTTTTCCCAAGAACTCACTTGGATGGAGACACCAAGGTTGCCAAAGCCTGGTATGCTGTAGACAATAGACCACAGCCTTTCCTGTCTTTAATGATGCCAAGCACCGAGCAGACCCAGTTGACTCCCAACAATATACCTCACAAAGCTCACCTCATTACACTGAGAGGAGAGGGACACAAAACTGTGCTCCAGGGTCAGCTCCAGCTTTACCTAGGCACTTTAGGTGAGTAAATCATGCAGTCCACCATGTGGTACACTCCTTTGGCTGTATATCTGCCCAAAATGGATAAGAAACGGTAAAACAGTAATCCCAGAAGAGACTTATGCTCTAACCAGTGGTTGATTTCACATTACTTACCTTTCCCATAACTCAAAGTTGTGTGGCCTCTGCTCTCTCATCTCTCCTGGTCTTTCATTGGAAATCAGTGAATTCATGAAACCGTACACACTTTGATGTTGTGCATGGGCCACAGTGTGGTGTGTCATAAACAGATATCCTAATCAACTGCCAAGTGGGTCATTTTCCTAACATTCAGAATATGTCATTGTGTGGAGAGATCGTCTTGATATGATAGAGAACAAGTGTTTCTGGAAACTTAAATGAATGATCAAGGGGGTCTGTTTTTTTTTGTATCAGTCTTGAGCAGGATGTTAAACGTCTGAAGGCAGATCTGCAGGCTAACAGACAGCTAGAGTCAGAGCTTCGGAGTCAACTTTCTTCCCTGAGCAGTCAGGACCGCAGCCTTCGCTCTGAGCTGGGCCAGCTCCGCCAAGACAATGAGCTGCTGCAGAACAAGTGGGTTCATCTAAAGTGCATCAACATCCACACTAGGATCAATTTTATTTTCTATACTTTACTGTAGTTATGTTTTTAGCTGACTGTGGTCTACATCAAAGTCTCTGTATGGTATTAGTCACAAAATAGAAGCACATGCTCTGATTTAATTTTAGATTCTTCTCTGTGCATTTTGTCCAGTAATAATCAATGTCTCTGCCAATGCTTTGGAATGGAACTGATGCAATTTCAAGCTAAAAAGGCTGCATTTGGTTAAACCAAAAATCTGGTGCTCCCAGCATACACACACACACACACACACACACACACACAAAAATAGTTTAAACAGATTCTTAGTGCCTTTGATGCTGCAAGACATTTTCAGCGTATATTCTTCTACTTAAAAATCCATCATTTCTTTCTTAGTTATTTTGCCCTCTTTTTCTGACAAGAGTCATTCTACATATTTCAACCCAGAAACTTCAACTTTAAGCCTTACCAAAATTAGTCTTAAGGACTAATTAAGCTGCTGTATCTTACTGATGTTTCATTGTTTTCTGGGGGGATTTAATGCTTTTCACAAATTCAGCCTATTGACACTAATAAAGAATTTTCAACCTTTTTCAACTCTTTAAATCCTCCAAGTCCTTAACATTTTCATATAAAAACTCAATTTTAGCTTCAAAATGTTTCTCAGTTATTAAGGTTTATCAACATACTTTAATTTTTTTATACTTTTATCGTGTTTTACATTTACCTTTAAATTGACATCAAAATTTTTTTGGCCCTTCAAGACCTTTTCAGTGGTGTATATCACATGGACTGTTTGGACTCAGTGATTCAGACTTTATTGTGGAGAGTCTGTTAAAAGTACCTAGAAATCTTGTGAAAAAAAAAGTCATTTCACTCAACAAAACAAGGTATCAAACGTAGGTAGTCTTGTGCTTTTATGCAGAATACCATATTCTTATAATATCTTTATTGAATGGACAGAGCAGTAGACGGAGTATGAAATCTGGACTAAGGGTCACATTCAAACCTGTTGCCCCTGTTGAAAACTGTAGCCTCTGTCCATGGGTGCATGAAGCACAGCACGTAAACACACAGCAGGAACTCCAAACAGACATACATAGACCTGTCAGAGCCTAACAACTGTGCTGTAACTCAACTACCTTTGGACACAGGATTCGGTGAGACATGTTCTCATGGTTTCATCGTTGCCAAAAGACAACATTTGGAGAATCGAGGGTTCACACCAGTAGGGGGTGTGGTGGCAGTTCCTAGAGATCACCCCAAAAAATGTCTTCATCAAAACCCAAGAGTCAAGTCATAGTGAACCACCAGCACAAATTTTAAATGCCACTTGTTGGCTGCCTTTTGCACATAGCACTTCAGATCTTTTTGCTGATGTTGTCCTGTTCCTGCAAAAGTAGTGTTTTCTGATTTAAAAAACTCTCACCCAGCTGTCTTTTAACAGTTGATCGTGTTGCTTAATATGGAACATGTGAAAAAGAGTATTTTCTGCTGCATGCTGTCACTCACTTTGTTTGACTCTTACTTGGCAGCAAAGGGTTACAGGCATGAAAAAAATACTGTTTCAAAGTTTCTGGTCTTGATGCTGATGGTTTTGTTTTTATGAGTCATATTTTTTGTAACCAAAAAAAAAAAAGAAAAATTCACAGCACTCCTACTTAAACATTTACTAAGTGTCACCTTACACCAAGTTTAAAGTGGGCTCCTCTTCTCATAATATTTCAGGCTCCACAGTGCCATCCAGGTCAAGCAGAAGGATAAGCAAACCATCTCCCAGCTAGAGAAGAAATTAAAGGCTGAGCAGGAAGCTCGTGCTCTCGCTGAGAAACAGCTGGCTGAGGAAAAGAAGAAGAAGAAGATGGAAGAGGCCACAGCTGCTAGAGCCATTGCGTTGGCTGCTGCCACCAGGTACTAAATACGTGTATATTGCACACCTTTGACTTTTACTTTATTTTAATGGCAAATTAGAAATCAATCAGTTTTTTAACGAAAAATGAAAGATGTCTGTTCTTTTTATCAGTGGCAGAGCTTCCTCCAATCAGTTACTGTGGTGCAACTTAACAATAAAAACAGAAAGATTCTGAGAGATGTTAAGAAACCTGATTTTCTGGTGAACCTCAGTTTAAGGAGAGGTTACATTTCAAATAGATCACTGACAGAAATTGCATTCGTTTGGCTGGCAGTGCCTATTCTGGGCTGGCTAGTTACAGCAGCCACATGTCTTACACTGTAAAAACGTATCCTGCCTCACCTTTGTAACAACTGTTTATATACATTCATTTGCCACCAGTTCCTTAAAGAGAGGAAGAGCCACAACTTAAAGGGATATTCCAGCGTAAAATTACGTTAGGGTCAAACACACTGTAACACTGAGATAGACACCCCCCCGAGAGATGAATATTGCCGACTGCTTGCTTTTCTAGTTATACCAACTTTAGTTACGACCGCACGATAGCAATACACAGCGGTTTATGTCTCCACACGCAAAACCTAACCAAAACTCCACTCTATAGCCACAAATAATACTCAGAACAGCACCTAACTTCATCAACAGTACATATAGGGTCCCAGCCATAGCACTAGCCACCAAACATCTTTTTAGCTTTGCCTAATTTCTTTAGCAAAGAGACCAAACACAACTCACCCACTCTCCTCCAGCAGCCGCTTGTTTGTGGGGGAGCCCTGACAAGTCCATCACAGAGTGCAGCGGAGTTTTGCAGCTCAATGAAGAACATTTATGATCATTTCTTTATGGAAATGAAATCAGACTGAGATGTTGAAGCAGAAGAACTACTGTGTTTGCAGTGCAAAATGATTATCATGACCATTATTCCTTCGTGGAAAAGATCCGCTGCACTGGGATACACCAAGTGGAAATGATCAGTTGATTAGTGTTTGGGCACCTTTTTAAAAAAGTATTTTGCCTTTTCTACTCGTCTCTCTAGAGTTGAATCAACTGACTCTCTGCGTGGACGAATCAGAGACTTGGAGACTGAGTGTAAGAAGCTTTGCATGGACACGAAACTTAAAGAAGAGCAGATAAGGGATCTGGAGAGTAAATGTCAGGTGAGTGGAGAGCATAACTCACTTTGAAATAAGATCATACTTTCAGGTATTTTACAACATTGATAGTGAAAACGCCAGTTATATACTTGGACATCATTTACGGGTAAAGGCTTTGAATCTAAGTAGGAAGCTAACAAACTGCTGCAGTGCCTGTTGTACAACTTTAATTTTCCAATTTGGTGTCTTTATTGCATAATTTTTCATGCAGGAGCTGCGGAAGTACAAAGAGAACGAGAAGGACACAGAGGTTTTGATGTCAGCCTTGTCAGCGATGCAGGAGAAGACCCAGCACCTAGAGAACAGCTTGAGTGCCGAGACAAGAATCAAACTAGACCTCTTCTCTGCACTTGGGGATGCCAAGAGACAACTGGAAATAGCACAAAGTATCCATATATTTTATTTATATCTTCCCATGCAAGTTTTATGAACTTCAGTGTAAACAGAACTTGTCTACCATGCTGTGTCTCTGTCTCAGTCTCAAGCAGTAGATCTGTATTTACAGGCACACAGAGGCTCATTAGGCTTGATGATAAACAAGTTTATATTGTATTGACACTTCCGATTCTTTGTCTGGCTCCGTGCAATCTCCTTTTCTGTGTCTACATTACGGTTTTGTTTTTGAGCATTGTTTGTCTTTTAAAGTCTAATGGTGGTTCATGACGCTGCATGTTAATTGCATCAAGTCATAAGGAGTCACTAGAGACACATCTGGAGAAAGATGATCTGGCTAGCCGAAGTGCAAAGCGCTGTCCACTGATGTTTTCACATCAGCAAGCCATCATTGATTATACGACTAGAAGAGTGCACCACAAAGCAAGAGAGGTTAGGTCATGGTTTAAGATAAAGTTACAAAAAGCTGGCTCCATTGCAATCTGGCTAGATCACCATGGTTACTTGCTCTTAATTTCTAACATAATCTGGTCAGGGCTAGGTTGTATACTAAATTACAGCTTGAAATTGGAAGTAAAGTGCTGTCATTTCGTTAGTTAATGCAGGCGGTTCTCCTTGGGCGATACAGACCATCAGCCACTGTTGTGAGAGTCTATGGTACTTTAACCTTTATTATTATTATTATTATTATAGACTTCTTAATAGGACTAGTTGTTAAATATCCCTAATATTCAGCACATCAATTGACAGTCATTGGAGATGTCCTCTACTCTTGAGTGGGGTGGGAATTGGCAATGATCACGTGGTGCCACCAGCACGCCACATCATCAGTTGTTCGCCCCGACTTCATTGGGTGTTTCGGCCACTTACAACAAGACACCCTCTGTCAGGGTTGGCCCACCACAGGATGATCAGCCCTGGGTGTGTGGTGTACGGTGGCACCATGCGGTCACTTGGCTGCCCATACTGCATCTTTACGTTTCAGCCATAGCCAGTCTGACTGCCAGTGGTCAGAGAGCTAGTGGTCATTTCTTTTAGTGTGGTGTCAAATGGTGGGATCAATATGTCCTCTAAGTTTAATGTGCACAGAGCCTGAAGCAAGAAGCCTGAGTTAACAGAACAAGTTCCTCAGTGGTTTACTTGAAGAAAGCTTGGGTGTTTTAAGATAACTTTGCAACTTTGTGGTATACTTCTCTGGTGTACTGTGCTTATCTGTCTGTGGCACTGCTTACCTTTCAAATCATTCAGAATCAAACGTGTGCATATTGAAGCAGGGGGGGAGGTGAGCTTGTTTGCGAACACTTTACATCAGGGCCTTTGTCTGCTTCGTCTTTTCCAGGCCAGATCCACCAGAGGGAGCAGGAGGTTGCAGAACTAAAGCAGAAAATAGCCGAGGTCATGGCAGTGATGCCAAGCCTCTCCTATTCATCAGACAGCAGCAACCACAGCCCAGTCACCCCACACTACTCCTCCAAGTTCATGGACAATAGTCCCTCCTCCCTGGACCCAAATGCCTCAGTCTACCAGCCCCTCAAAAAATGACTTTTAAATTAAATATTTTTTGACAAACTGTGTGTCTTTATTTTGGTGGGCTCTGATCCATTTTTGGTCATTTTTTGAGTTTGTCAGACAACTCTTGCACTGTAAATATACTGCATAGTGACACAGTGCACATAAACCCCCCATAGATGTATTTGACTTGTTTTTGGTTTAAAAAGTTTTTTTGGTATAATGAGATTTTTTTTCTCATGGAGGTTGCACTTTTTTTTTTTTAATACTTTTGGAGTGTAGCTCAATGACATGGTTTCTGTATGAGCAGGTCAAAAACAGAAAAAAAAGAAGAAAACAAGACTGATGTCCAAAGGCAATCCTCTTTTACTCTATACCCCACCACATCTTTGTCTATGGGAAACTTACTCAGAGGTTCAACAAATGTTTTTTTTATTTTTTTATTGTCTTTCTGTGTTGCTTTCGACTTAGATTCAGCTTTGAGTCTTAACTGTTAAGCCCTTCAAAGGTACATGAATGTAGAATTATTCATGTTATGGTATCAACAGTGACTTTAATCAGTGCACTTGTTTGATAATGTTCCAGATTGTTTATGACAACGTACATTATTACTCAACACTGAACATCTGATTAGTGCAGGTTTTCCAGTGCAGCTTGGTTTTTGCCATGCTAGAATAGAGATGTCTTCTGGACAGACAGGAAAATGTTGATGGAGTTTTGTCCTCAAATTCTTGCTGCTGATGGATTAGACCCTGGCACTGACAAAATGATATATTGTAATAATACTCACACTTTTATTTTTCTTCTTGACCCAATAAGAACTAGCTGTCTGGTTTCTTACAATTTTTAGGTAATTGGTGCAGACGATAGTGCCTTGCCGTTTGCTTTTTAAGGTGAAAAACGTACTTCTGAAATCTAAAAATGGCCTAAATGATAAATTGTAGCTGTAGACATTTGCAGCTAATGTCTCACTAAAATGTTGCAGACTTAAACGAAAGATTTATCCTAGACATGTTACATGTCATTTCATAGTGACACAGTCTTGGTTTGCCTAACACCACCGCAATTGATTGTCTATTATCATGCCTGGTAGTTGGCATTATGTTGTTTACAACAATGTACATTAACCTACTGAGGAATGTTTCCTTGTTTTGTTTTATTTAATTCTAGTGCAAGTGCCAATACTTGATGCTACATTTACATCCATACTGTGTGTGTAGCTAACATAATACAGAAGAGAACTGTGTTTGTTAGCAGAACACATTGGGCAGTTTTGTGTTTTTGGACAAATTCTGATAGAAAAGCAGGTCGTGCATTTGATTGTGATTTTTACGCCTTTAGTTGTCTTGGAATTTTGGGGTAGAAGGTTGTTGATATGTTTGTTTTCCTTTTGCTTCTAGGAAGGATTCTGTGTGATGTTTTGGAAAAGGTTACCCTTCGACCATATGACCATGTTGTGCTGTCATGTTGACTATCTTGAAAAAGTAATTGTTGTGGATCACTCTTGTGTTGTGGATTCAGCTCTCAAGTTACTTTCATAAGTTTTTTTTTTTTTAAGGATGGAGGGTTTTGTTTAAATATTTTTGTCCCACCATAATTACTTTCCTTACTCAAAGTGATGGTGGCTCTGTCACACGTTCCACTTTGGCCTTCACCATTAAAAAAAGACTTTCTGGTGGAAACACAAGTTGTTGAGAGTGTGTATATTTCATAATCTATCTTTAAAATTTTATGACACTATCTAGAGGCCAAGCTTTTAAATTCAAATAAACCACGAGATGGAAGCAGTATTTTTAGTATCACTTAAGTTTTAAAAATCTGTATAATGGACAAATGTTTAAAGTTAAGTTAAACTATGAGAAATTCAATTTTGATTGCAACGTCCAGTGGAAGACCCTACTCGATTACTGTGGGTTTGTTACAGAGTTTTCCTGGGGAAAAGGGTCACTTAGGGGCAAGACCCTCTGGTTATCAAGCCTGAAATGCAATGGCAACAATTAAGCTCCCCCCCTGTTTTGCATTGAATGCCCCTGAAGTAGGGGCCCATAATGCCATAATGATTTTACTAACTGCTTGATCTAAACCAGTGGTTCTCAAGTCCAGTCCTCGAGGCCCACTGTTCTGCATGTCTTGGATGTTTCCCTGCTCCAACACACCTGATTCAAATGATCAGCTCGTTATCAAGCTCTGTAATGGCTTAATAACGAGCTAATCATTTGAATCAGGTGTGTTGGAGCAGGGAAACATCCAAAACATGCAGGACAGTGGGCCTCGAGGACTGGACGTGAGAACCACTGGTCTAAACCATCAATGAGAGACTCAGGTCCCTTGAGGACTATCGATGCCCATAGCAGCAGGTATTCTAGGCTTGGGAGTAAGTTGCAGTCCCCCTGCTGCAAAAGCAGGACCTGCCTCCTAAGCAGGAGCCACAGAAATCTGTTCAGTAAATGGTACACCTCTGAGCCAGGACGTCCTTGGCTCCTAAGGGGATCATCATCAGTCTGCCGTATTCTGTTTTACACAGATCACGATCAAATCAACAAATAATTCATGTCAAGTGGAGGTTTGGTTACATTTGCATACAAGAAATGACTAAACTTGGCAGTAATTAAGGTCATGGGGCAAATGCACCGAGGAATAAGAGGCTAGTGCCTCATTATTGTCATACTGTGGATTTTTTCTCATTCCTCTTCCGGAAAAATGTTCAGTCACTCCTAGTGTTACAGCTTGAAGAGTTGTAGGACAAATTATCAGTTCAAAACATGTGGTTTGATCTGGATCATTGTATTATTACTTTTCTCTAATGTATATAAAAAGTGTGGAAAAAAATTGCATTTTTGTTTTTAATAAGAGGTTCACGGGATTTTTTTTATTTATTTAATTTGACTGTGACAATTTCATTTCAAGATATTGAAAACATTTGATTAAATGCGTAAACTGCCCTTATTTTATTAAGTGTAAATGTTTTATTATTTTTAATAAATTAGTTTTTCATAAATGTTATTTGAAGAAAATTATACTGGAATTTGACTTTGAGTTGTTCTTTTGAGTGGATTTATGGATTTAATTTCACCACTAGATGGTGCCTAAATCAGCTTTCACCTCTAACAATACAGACTTCACATTTTTATCAGATGCCATTCATGAAGGTTTCCCTCTTGTGGCCATCAGTGCGCAGTTCTATCCAATTTGTTATAAGTTTAGTCCATGTGGCTGTCTCAGCTCCCTCCTAAGCTCCCCAAATCAGATGATTACCATAAAAGACAACTGTCTGACCAAAACTGTAGATAGGATAAATACAGGATACTCAGTTGGGTTGCTTACCAGACTGCAATCATCCACAGCGCTCCAAAGAGGAGAAGTAGGTTGCAGACAAATGGGGATTCAGGAAGCGTGTTTCTTCAACTCATAGAAAACCCTGGCTTTGACAACGAAGCCAAAAGTTCAATTTGTAGTACATATGAATGATGGAGACAAGTTAAATGTAAACAGCATAATGTATTTGTCATCTGACACCCATCAAAAAATAAAATAATACCTGTAAAGAAATACGTGACCTCCAAAACAATAACTGATAGTGCACCTAGTATGATTCCAAGTGATATCAATTAAGTCTTAAAGGGTACAGGGTGTAGAGAGGAAACTATAGGTTCCTTTTTCTAGTCCCTTTTGTTCAGGAAGGTTCCAAAATGAATGAATCAACCTTGAAGTCTTGAAGTGTCACCAATGACAAGAGCTAAATCCTCCAAAAGATAAGGAAATGAGTCTTGTTGCTTCTCCTTTAGGATACACAGGACCATCCTTTACGGAAGGATAGAAGTAACAGTGGCCCACAATTCTTTGCACCAACTGTGATACACTGGGAAAATAAGTTGGTAGATAGTAGATGAGATGAGACATGAGACTTCAAACAAATGAATTTCCCTATGGGCATCACTAAAGTTCTTGAATTCAGTTCACGCCCCTTTTGATGTGGATGACAACAAATGATCAGCATGACCGCAGCTCAATGTAACAGTCAGATTTTCTTGATATAGACTATATCAGATAGCATGCCAGCTGAAGTTTAAAGTTTAACTGCTGAAAAGATGATACCATGTCCAATTGATAGGTTCAAATTTAAAAATCTTCTTCTGACCTACAGTGCTTTTCATGGTCAGGCCCCATCATTTTTAAAAGAGCTCACTGTCCCCTATTACCTCTCCGGAACATTGCAGGCCTGCTCTTTGTACCTTAAGTCTTTAAAAGTGGTAGAGCTTCCAGTTATTAGGCCCCTCTCCTCTGGAATCATCTACCAGTCATCATCATCGTTATTCTATTTCTTCTTCTTCCTCCATCTAAACATTGGGTCTTTGTAAATAGAGTATGATCTTGACCATCCTTTTGTTGAAGGTCTTGTATGGGCTGAGATTTGCGCCACTAGGTACTGAAAATGAATACTCATATTGAATTGGAAAAGCATGTTTTGAAATTATATTTAATGTTTTGAAACTTCATTCATTTGCTCTGACATTGTGTTGAACCCATGCTTCTTGAAAATTCAACTCTATATTCTTTAGTTAGAAAATAGTTTGATTTTAGTTCAGTGTGGTCCAACTGTTGCCTTATCTCCATCCGTGAGGAAGAGTAAGCACAAGCACAGGTTCACACGACCCCTGAGCGAAAAAAAAAACCCTCCTTATTCCTCAGCTGAGCGGAGCAAGCTAAACTGGGGCCATTGTCATAATGTCTGAAGACCAGGGACTGAATATTCAGGTTTGCATTAAACCTAAGTTACTTACACGCCCCACCTCCCAATAAATCTTGAAAAGCATTATCCACTTTCCTTTGAAACGTATCGAAGCTACAGTAATGTTAAGGCTTACATTATGTTTTTTCCTACATATGAAGATACATATGAATAATTTAAAGTTTAACCTGATTATCCCTTTTTTTAACTAATCCCATCCACAAATCACTGGTCACAGCCAACGGGGGCAGGTTGGGGTTTAGTGATTTGTGAAAGCATGTGGACCATGGGACCTCAAACCTGATAGTCTAAACTATCAATACTCTAAGCTGCCACGTGTCTTCTGTAAGTCCAGCTGCATGTATCCTGTTCACATATGAAACATTCACTCAAGCCTGTTGTGCACGCTAAACCATATCTTGTGCCATAATTCTGTGCCGTACACACATACACACACAATAACAAACAGCATAAAAAAGAGAGACACAATTCCCCGTAAAGATTGGCTGAAGCTCATCTTACTGGATTTGTGAGATTGGTGACAAACCATTACAAGAGAATGCTAATCACTTCTAAACATCCTTGGTTATCCTCCAAGAAGCTGTCCTCAGTAAATTCAGCCTATCAAAGTGTGAATAGAAAATCGAATTTCTCTCTCTCTCTGCCCCCCCCCCTTCTCTCTCTCTCTCTAACATACATAACACAGTTCATTTAGTGTCATTCACCTTGATTGCCCCTGTCTCTCTCTCTCTCTCTCTCTCTCTCTCTCTCTCTCTCTCTCTCTCTCTCTCTCTCTCTCTCTCTCTCTCTCTCTCTCTCTCTCTCTCTCATACACACATTTTCCAGACCCATCTCTTTGCTTGAACTCCTTCTGTCTCACCCTAGATCACCCCCAGCTCTGCTGTGCTTACCTAAAGTTAACTGTGATGTTGGAGGCAGAGAGGCAGAAAGAGAGAAAGAGAGAGAAATATTATATGGAAAGGAAGAAGTTACGAAGAAAGAGGGAAAAAAGGGAGCTGAGGGGAAGTGAGGTAAAAAGGTAACATAGGGTGATGAAAAATGAGAGTAAATAAATGACGCAGACGGAAAGGAGGGGTTTAGAAGATGAGGGTAGCTGAGGTTGTTTAATTGAAGGGAGGAGGGAAAGGGAAGGGAGGGAGAGACGGGAACCGGGGACAGTGGAGTTCAAGCTAGTCGAGAGCAAATGAAGAGCATGGACATAAATAGTTAGATGCAGAGAAAAGGATGTTCACAATTAAAGCCAAAACAAAACCAAATTATTCAAGTGCCACAAAAACTGAGAATGAGATTTTATTTCTGTTTTGTTTTTTAAAAAAGGAAAAAGATGAAGTCAAGCTAGCACAGAAACAACATATCCATTTCAAACCAAGAGCTGCAAAGACTTACTCTGAAGTGTTGATCACTAAACTTATTTGGAGGTGACCTAAGGACACACTCTATAGGCACATGGTGTGCTCGGCTGCAGCAGAAGGCTGCTCTATATGTAACGTGCCTGTATGAGTCACTGCAGTAGAGATGAGGGGGAGGTGCTTCAGTACTGCGTTCACCTCAAAGGACCTACCCCGAGGGTTCATAGCCTAGGTTTTAACCCCACTACAACAGGATTTCATTTTTTAAAACACTGGCTGGTCATGATAATCTGATTCCATCTTTTAAGTGATCCTGTAGGATGATCTGCCAAGGTGAACTTGTGTGTTGTAGTTATTTCATCCAATTATTTCAATCAATCAAATGTTATTGACTCATGGTGTATGCTCCAGTGGCCATTTGTGGATCAGGTAGATTTCTTCTAAAGCAAGCACCCAATGAGGACGAAAACGTTTAATGTGGATTGCCGTCATTTCTTTATTGTTGCATGTATCTCTGAATCAATCTGTAAATCTTTTCATTAATTAATTAATTCATTCATTCATTTGTTTATTTACATACAGTATACTGAATATTTATTATTCCTTACAAATGAAATGAAGTTAGACTTTTTGATGTTAAAGGTGGGGTAGGCAGGATCCTGTTATAGAAGCATCTTTTTTGTGGTGTATATACAAAAAATCTTTTAATATCAGTCAATAGCTATTAGTTATTGATGACATTTGGGAATATCACAATATCACTGTTTTGTTATGCCTGTGTAGTCAACATTTTAAATGTTTAGCTGCACGCTCTTTCTGTAAACAAAGCCATTCTCCCCCAACCTGATTGGTTGTGAGGCGGACGATGCTCCTTTGTGCTGATTGGTTGTGAAGTAGACACTGCTCCCCCATGTTGCTCACGAGCCTAAATAAAGCTAGTGTGCTACAATATCAGACAGTAGAAACCAACCAGAAAGTACAGAAAATTGTCTGAATCCTTCTTTGGCCAAGACTGCCAACACAAGCAAGAAAAGTAAATACTGGAGATTATGGAGGCGTAAGAGGCGCTTAAAAAGGAGGTAGACCACCCGGCCAAGAGCTAAAAAGCCGGGTCAACAATGATGGGGGATGCTTCGGGATCTTAAGGACCCTGTAACCTTTCTGCTGGACAGGTAAACCGCTTTAACAAAGTAAGCCAAGTGTCTGTAACAGAAGTGTTTCTTGTCAGACAGGACCTGCTGTGTGAGGTAGCGCCGCTAAACTGTTTACCTGGGGTCCTGGACTATGTCAGTTTATCCTAGTTGTAGAAGTCCTGCAAACATTGTGTTTGCTGGTAGTCTGTTGTCATCTACAGCAGCACCAATGCTGTTTCCTTTCATGTTGACTGGGCCCCTTTGTAATTATCTGAAGTATTTATCTGCATTATATCTGAATTTAATTGAAACGATACGAGCGAGCAGAAGCGTCTGTTTGCGGGCTGGGCTTGCTTGAGAAGAGACGGAGGGGAGAGGAGGAGCTGAGGGGAAAACTGGTTGGGAAACATCTTCATCTGTTTCATCTGTTGAAATTTTGTTTATGTATATATATATATATATTATATATATATATATATATATATATATATATATATATATTTGTTTCTCAGTAGCATTGTGGTAGTATTTGGTTATCTTTGTTTCTCAGTAGCATTGTGGTAGTATTTGATCTGAAAACAAATAGCTTCTCAGTTACTTAGCTGTTTTCTTTAACCACCTATTGTCAACAGTACACTGTGTGCACAATTATTAGGCAAGTTGTATTTTTGAGGATAAATTTTATTTTTGAACAACTACAGTGCTCTCGGTCAATCCAAAATGTTAATAAACCTCAAACCTTAATATTTAAGGGAGTAAAAGTGAGATTTTGGCTTCCTTAGGAGAATATCTATGTGTGCACAATTATTGGGGGCAGCTATTAGTGTGCAGAATTATTATGCAACTAAATTAAAAATAAAAAATTTTCCATCTCACTTGTTTATTTTCACTTGTTCAAGTGAGAATGATAAACAAACAACTCAATTTACAAATAAAAATTGTTGAAATAAAAAAAATCAGTGACTAATGTAACTACCCTTCTTTTCAATAACAGTCATAAGCCTTTCATTCATGGAGTCTTTCAGTTTCTTGATCTGTTGACGATCAACTTTTTGTGTTGCAGTAACCAAAGCCTCCCAGACACTGTTCAGAGAGGTGTACTGTCTTCCTTCACTGTAAATCTCCCGTTTAAGAAGGGCTCACAAGTTCTCAACAGGGTTTAGGTCAGGTGAAGAAGGAGGCCATGTCATGATTCTTTCGCTTTTAAGGCCTTTACTGGCGAGCCACATAGTGGAGTACTTTGTTGCATGCAATGGAGCATTGTCCTGCATAAAAATCATGGTTTTCTTGAAAGATGCAGACTTTTGCCTGTACCACTGCTTGAAGAAAGTGTCTTCTCAAAACTGGCAGTGGATTTGGGAGTTGATTTTAAGTCCATCTTCAACTCGAAAAGGTCCAACTAACTCATCTTTAATAATACCAGCCCATACCAGTACCCCTGGTGTCTGATTCCAAGTGGAGCTCTGTGCCCGTTACTGATCCAGCCACGGGCCCATCCACCTGGTCCGTCAAGAGTCACTCTCATCCCATCAGTCCATAAAACCTTTGAAAAATCTCTCAAGATATTTCTTGTCCCAGTCTTGACGTTTCAACTTGTGTGTCTTGTTCAGTGGTGGTCAGATTTCAGCCTTCCTTACCTTGGCCATGTCTCTGAGCACTGAACACCTTGTACTTCTGGGCACTCCAGGTAGGTTGCAGTTCTGGAATATGACAGCACCGGAGGATAAGCAATTCCTGGTAGCTTTACGTTTGAGTCTAAGCAATTTCAAGAGTGCTGCATCCCTCTGAAAGACTTTTTACAATTTTTGACTTTTCAGAGTCATTTAAATCTCTTTTTTGGCCCATTTTACCTGAGGAAAAGAAGCTGCCTAATAATTATGCACACCTTGATTTAGGGTTTTGATCTCCTTAGGCCCCAGCCTCCCTCATTACACTAATACACATTACCTGATATGCTTATATCCAATAAGCATTCAAGTTTATACAGCTTGGAGTTGGAAAATATGCATAAAAATGATGATATGATCAAAATACTCACTTGCCTAATAATTGTGCACACAGTGTATTTACGATTTTCCCTGACAAAGTTGAGACAGCAGAACGTTCTGCTCAGTACAGCCTGGAGCTCACTGTCACCTCTCTTCTTATGGAGCAAAGTGTTTAGGATTAGTAAATCACACAAGCCAGAATGCTGACGTGTGATTGTAACACACTGCTGACTCCCATATGGCGGTGATATCTTTATATCTAACCCAAGATATAAACCCGAGACAGCCCAACAGTGACACACATATGGAAGGTGATTCCCAAGTAAGCTGCATAAACAATCCATCAAGATAACCATCACCAGGTCAGCTTTCAATGGCCTGCTAGTAAACTCTTAACAGCTGACACAGTTCATACAGTCAGGAAGAGATGCATCAGAAATGAGATTATTTTAAAAAGGAGGACTTTAGATTAGGAGAAAGGGATCAGTGATGTACCTGTGACTTGACTACTGTATGTTTTTGTCAGCTAACTGAACTGTAAGAGCGCACACAAGATTATTTCTGATGTAGAAAGACACATGGAACAAAATCTGACTCCTGCTTCCCCACAAATCATGAAACATTTCAGAAACATTTCACCATATTAAATGACTGATGTGTCCAATCAAATCTGGGCTATCTCAGTAAAAAAAAAAAAACAGATTTGAAAAAGACACTATCAGTTTTCTTTTGTTTGCTGAAGTGTGGTTGTTCTGAGTCCAAACAAAAATGAACTTGACTTTGGGTATAAAAATATCTAAGGTAATTATCAGGTGCAAGCATGAGCGATAATTTCTCAGTTGGGGATCACTTTGGTAAAAAGAGAAATTGATTGACATCAAATTTTATTATAGTGCAGTTTTAGTAAAACTATAGATCAGATACACATTTCAAGCTTGCATATTGTACATTTCAATATTACACCGCTGTTCACTGAGCTTCAAAATGAATGGAGTTCTTTGTATGGTTCAGAAAAACTTTGCAACCCCACGAGGCAGTGTTTATACTATCATAGGAGGAAAAAAAAACATTATATGTTGATGGGATTCTTCATGATTTTTAACCTTAAATCTTTGTTCAGAGTTAAAAGGATCCCATCTGAACATTACTTTTCACTTTAACAAAGTGCTTTCTACTGCCAGTCATCATCATAATAATCAAAACAAAAAACCAAATATCTGCAATCTAGAGCCACCAACTGTTGAGGGAGGAGGGCTGCAGACAGCACAGATTGCCTGAATTTGGACAAGGCGTTCAGCACATAAGTATGATTCATTCTCTTGAGATTAAGACAGACCCTCTGGCTTTCTGTTTGTCTGGTTTCTTCAAATGTGACAGACAGATGAGTCATAACTGTGTCCCAGAGCTAACAGGCTTTTACAACAAAAAGAGTACATGTTGAAGAACAAGAAGTTAAACTGGAGGAAAGGACTGGAGAGTGGGGTTGATGAGGATGTTGGGCTTTTTGCAAAAGACTGTTCAGAGAGAAATAAGAAAGGAAGTAAACTTTGATATTTAATTGGTGCTGTTAAACTCTGCTATCTTGACTACTCATTGAGCTCAAAAACTTGACAATGGATGTTTCTGTTTCAAAGTTTGCTAGATTGTTTGTTATACACTAACTGGCCACTTAATTAGACCCCCCTTTGCCTTCACAACTGTCTAAATTCTTCTTGGCATACTTTCAAGGTGTTGAGAACATTCCACAGAGACTTTTGTTCATATTAACAGGTGCAGCAGGTTTGTCGGCTGCATATCCATGATGTGAATCTCCCGTTCACATCCCAAAGGAGCTCTACTGGACTGAGATCTGGAGACTGTGGAGGCCACTGGAGTACAGTGAACTCACTGTTGCGTTCAAGAAACCAGTTTGAGCTGACTTGAGCTTTGTGACATGGTGCATTATCCTGCTGGAGGTACCCATTAGAGTCATAAAGGGATGGACATAGTCAGCAACAGTACCCAGGAAGGCTGTGGCATGTAGACTCTGCTCAGTTAAGGGGCCTAAAGTGTGCCAAGAAAATACACCATCACTACCAACAGCCTGAATTGTTGATACAAAGCAGGATTAATCCATGTTTCATGTTGACGCCAAATTCTGACCCACCATCTGAGTGTTATAGCTGAAGTCCAGACTCATCAGTCCAGGGAGGGTTTTTTCAGTCTCCTATTGTCCATTTTTGGCGAGTCTGTGTCAATTGTCGCCTCAGTTTCCTGTTCTTAGCTGATAGGAGTGGCACCTTGCGTGG